CAGCCAATCTTTTTTTCAGTGCAGTAACTAAAATTTGATAACATTGACTTGTACAATATACCAGTACGATATCTAAACTACTAAAAATCACAGCCTGTTCAGCTGTGACTTTTGCACGTTTGGCTATCTGGGTATATAGTGTACGAGTATACTACACTGAAAGAAAAGATTTGCTGCAGCAGCAGCAAATTAGATGGTAAAATATGACATAGCATTTTCAATTGACTGCAGGAGCTAATTTTTTGTTGCGTTAGCCTATCCGCAATGTCAATATAGGATTTAGATAGACTAAAGCCCAGTTCCACAACTCACGGTTAACTCTTGATCGAGGTTCAACTTATTCACTGTCTCTTCCCAATTTTAGAATTGGAAAGAGATGAGGAACAAGTTGAACCTCGATTAAGAGTTAACCGTGAGTTGTGGAACTGAGCTTAACGCAACTAAAAATTGGCTGCTGCAACCAATTAAAAGTGCTATGTCATATTCAACCAATCTTTTCTTTCAGTAGTAACTTTTGGAATTTAAAGTGAGATAGGAATATGTTTGATATTTGGCGAAAACAAGAAAGAGAGTTGTAGCGTAATCTAGTGTAGGAGTAAAAAACGGATCTAAATGTATCAACAATCCCAGCTAAAACCTGCAAAGATAACTTTTGAGCAGTATATATTATCATTCTGATGACAGTAAGATAAACTTGACACAGATGATTGAGTCTGTAATATATCCGATAATCTCGGTAAATTACCGGAAAACCCCATTAAATAAAACTGATAGAAAACGATAGGAATCTATACAATATCTGCCAAAAATCTTATCGCTTATCTATATCGTTTCACTTTTTATATTCCAAAAGAAGTGTTATCGTTTTTTATCATTATCTGAAAACAGATTTAATCCGGTTGGATTACGATAGAAATCTTACAGGAATTTATTATTCTTTACAATTTAGAAAGAAAATCTACATAATTGTTAATAATTTATTAATGATGACTCAAAATTTATATTATAAAATTACATCGGAAACTATTTTGTAATCGATCATATAGTCGCAACGACGAAAGCGAATGTTTTCTCATCATATTATTACGATTAAAAATTATTGTTATTTATCATGCATAAATTACGTAATTCAAAACACATCTTATCGTAAAGTTAAACAATGAAAAGTACACAAGTATTACAAGGCCTTATCATCAAATGAATCGGAGTTCTATTTCTCATAAGTAGAACATATCACACAGAATAGGATAAAAAGTGTAGCGTTATAAGATTCTTCATTAATATTCTAATAAAATGATTTGTTGAATACGAATCCACAAATTAAGTTCGAAGACGACAGTAAATAAGAAATGTATTTTGAGTTTCTAATTCTGTAACAAAAATTAATTCAGAAACCTGATAATTCTTGGAAGTTATATGTGTAAAAATGTGTTAATGTAATAGCATTTGAAATATTATTAGATATTAACACCAAAATTCAATAAATTTCATTAAATTCATAATTATTCATTTACAAAAAAAAAAACAATAATATAACAAGTAAAATAATTATAAAAAGAAACGATGAAGAATTACTTGTGGATTTACGATTTCGTACAACCACGATTCTCAGTTACGAAAAGAAATAACAAGAAACAATTTAATAATGTAACAAAAAATAGGATAATTATGGAAGAAAACGCTAGTAAGTAAATCGTTTCTTCTCATAATTTCGATTGACGATATTCTTTTGTTAATTTCCGATTCATAAGTAACTGCGAGTAAAAACGACTGAATCATTCCTTATCATTTCTTTTTTTTAACAGGAATATGACAATTAATGCTTGTTTGACATGTTATATATGTCAGCGGATTTGCGGCAAAAATGAGCAGGATTTGCAGCTCCTGCTCGGTTTTTACCCACGCAGATTCTGCTCGCTTTCTGCCATCAATCTACTGGTATAACACGTCAGACTCTGTCGATAGATTCTGAACTTAATGCGAACACAGATTGCTATGGATCTGCAGTGGGAATCTAATTAAATTTGCTGCCAATCTTCCAGCAAACTGTTTGTGGTTATATTCGCGAACTAATATGAAACTTTCATTTTTCTTACCGTGGCATTACAAATAAATATTAGATCATATTGGTAAAATATTAGATAAATATTAGTTTAAAAAAAAAATTTAGTAATTATAATAATCTTTAAGAAACTCGGAGTTATAATGATTTTTAGTAAAGTTAAAACTATCGTTTTATTAACAGAATTAACGATTTAACTGATAAATTCGATTGAATAATTTTGCAGAGCCCTAACAACATTGATGTGTCTGCTCATATTACAACAGTTGAGTGGTACTCAAGCCTTGTTGCAGTACGCTCAAATAATTTTCGATAAGATGGGCAATAATCTGGAGGGCAAATACTTAACTATGATAATGGGTGCCATGCAATTAGTCTTCACGATTGTCTGCATGATCTTCAATGATTTCACCGGCAGGAAGTTATTGTTGATGATCTCCCTTATCGGTACGGCGTGCTCCACTGCCATAGTCGCAACATATTTTCATCTTCAATACAATCAAATGGATATCAGCAATATAACGTGGTTACCCGCTACAGGCCTGATTCTATTCATAATCATGTATGGCTTAGGTTTGTCAACGTTACCGCTCACCATGGCCGGCGAATTGTTTTCCATGAACGTGAAGGCCCTTGGCAATATGATAGGTATGGTGACGTTATCAATCTCAGCGTTTGCCGTGACGAACTTATATCTGATCATAAGTGAAAGTGCCGGTGTGCACACGCCGTTCTGGATATTTACCGCGTGCTCTTTTGCCGGTGCCATTTTCACGTTTTTCTACGTACCTGAAACTAAAGGCAGGACGCTGGAACAGATACAGAGAGAACTGTAAAATCCGTCGAAATGAAAAAAATTTGAGAATGAATTATACTTGAATGTGTCGATCTTCTCTCGATGAATATTTGAAGAATATTAATTTACAAAATGTTCGCGTTTTATCGATGAAAGCAAGATTGAAAAATCTTTCAAGGTTGTAAAATGTAAAGAGGCTCAGTAAGTGGATAGTTTTTGAGCTATAGTGTGCCAAAGATGTAAAACAGTACATTTGGTGTTGTAGAATCAATTTAAGAAATCTCATTTTTATGTAATTCCATAAGAAAAAGTCTAACGGAATTAGATCTGACGAACATTACTGAAATATAAACAAATATATACTGTATATACACATATATACGTATATATATATATATATAAATGATAGTTACACGAATGAGCAAATACGTTTATAATAAATTCTTTTTGATAGATAAGTATAGCTAATTCTATTTATAGAGAATAAGCTTCTATTTATAGAGAATAAGTTGCAATGGTTACTTAACTTATACATATACATATATAAAATATACATATTTAATACAACTTAATAATAAAACTTTATTTCGATTACATATATGATGTATTGTGTTTTTGATGTTAATAGATTAAGATACGTCATCACATTGATAACTCGAACAGATTTTATAATACCGGGATTTTATAATGTCGGGAGTTTTATATATTTATTGAAATCAATATCATATATCTGTGAAGTGTTTGTGTAAAGATATAATTAATGTTATATAATATTGAAATAAACATTAAATGTCAATACGTGGTCAAAATTTAAAAACAAGAGAAAAATAAAAGGCATATACCACGAGCGCTTGATGTCGTACAGCGAAACTTCTTTCAAAGTCAATACATAAAATCATCATATCGGTAACATTGTGGAACATGAAATTATAGATACATTGAAAATACACACCGAAAGAAAGTAAAATAAGAAATCTAACGAGCTTATTGACATAGACATGTAACGAAGAAAGAACTCAATTTTTATTTGTATACTATACAATTCTGCGTAATTTATAATTTATATTTATATACTGATGATGGCCCAATAGAAGGCCGAAACGTCTATTCTATTTATTAATTTAATATAATTTTATGTATTGACTTTGAAAGAAGTTTCACTGTATGACATCAAGCGCTTGTGATATATGCCTTTTATTTTTCTCTTGTTTTTAAATTTTGACCACGTATTGACATTTAATATTTATTATAATCTTATTATGCTGTTTTTGCTGGCACTTCACTGCTGTTTATTTATCTTTTTTATTCATTACATCGATAATTATTTATGACAGATATATGAAATGTTCTGATGAGATAATAAGATAAAAAAGAAGCCAAAAACGGTAGTATTATACACGATGTTCAAAAAAGGCGGAATCAAATTTTAGGAATATGTAGTATTCGTGAAAACAAACTGAATAGTCTTAAAATAAGCAGAACCATTTATTTCCAAGTTCTTATACGCACGTTCGTACATTAGTGCTTCACGAGTTTCTAAGCTCGTTATTGATAACAGTTTTCAATTCTCCGTTCCGTCAATGTCAGTTCATCCACGAACGTCCGCGTTATCGTTGATAGTGTCTCGTTTTAACACATAAAATTGAATAGGTATTGTCAACAAATACGAGATAAATCTGGAATCTTTGAATGTATTCGATCTTCAATGAAAAGATGTGCCAAATTGTATGTTGAAATGAACGGAAGACACATTGAATATCCGTTGTAATTATATTTATTTTTTGCTACTCGGAAATAAATGTCTGGGAAAAAATTGTTTACATATAATTATATATATATAATGTGTTCATTATATAACATTTTTGTCTCGGGTAGTTTTTGGAGTTCTGCTTATTAAAACTTTCCGATTTTATTTTCTTGAGTACTATGTATTCCTAAAGGTTGGTACCACCTTTTTTCAACACCTTGCATAATGCTTTTATCAGTACAGATACAGTAATGCCTCTATTAGTATTTTTACAATAAACTATGTATGTATGTACATAAAATATTTAAAGTATAAAAATTCCCACAATTTTACATAATATGATATTTGATAATTAAAATCATGTAAAAATTTTTCAAATTTTCAGACAAGATACGTGTTTAAAAAATGTCTTTTAAGTAGATGTTATAAAGTCGTTTTTCTGATTACTTTATAAGACATTGCAAAAATTTTACGACATTAATATTCCCCTTTTTATATATCGTCTGATATAATTAGAATTTTATATCTACCTCTTGAAATGCTTTAGATGAAACTGATATTATATTATCTGCATCACTTGGATAAGAATTTTGTATCGTTACAAATTCATTCATTTATTATTTATACACGACAGTAGGTGATTGTAGTGAAAACATGAAGAAATTATATCTCGCTGCTGTAGCAGGTACGTATATATTGGGATAATTACAGAATAGAAAGACATCTCGACAGAATTGCTGAATATTTATTTAATTATTACGTAAAATGAATTAAGCGTTTTTTCATAATTGAAATTTATTTAAATCATTTTAATTTAATATATACGTATAAATATTCCTATTTAATTTGTTAATTGATTAATTTTTCTCGGGACTCTTTGTAAAATTATCTTCTGTCTAATTAATAAAATATATGATATATATTAAATCTTTTTTAAAATCTATTATTTTAATAGGAAATTTAGGTGTGTTATCAGCGGCCTTGTTTAACGGTTGGGCATCGCCATCTTTACCTTTTTTGATGTATGGTAATGATGCTGAGTATCCCATACGTTTAAACTTAGAAGAAGCCTCTTGGGTGACATCTTTACTTAGTATTGGTGCCGCTTCAGGTAGTGTTATTTCTGCATTGATTGTGAATATCATCGGCAGGAAGAACACCATGTTATTTACGGTTGTGCCCTCAATAATTGGCTGGTTGTTAATAGCCTTCGCAACATCATCGTGGGTAATTTAATAATTGTAATATTCATTAAATATATCCGAGTACTTTTTACGAAATGATATGTTGAATGTGTAAAAACATTGAAAGTTAAAATTTAAAATATTCATAAGATATCAGTTATATACTAGGTCATAATTCGGCTAGAAGGGGTTGATCGATTGCTGTCGATCAACGTTTAATTAGCGTTAATTATGTGATTCTTTTAGTCTTTCAAGAAAAGTTTTCCCAATTTTTTCAAAATTTCTTGAAATTTGGAAAAACATTTTAAAGGTACATTTAGATTGTACACTCTATAGTTTCTTAATAATATGATCTACATTTCTTGAACCTCTTTGAATATTTCGCGACTTTCAGTGTAAGTTCCACACTTTATCTTGCTGTAATTCTAACGAGAAAATTATTTGAAACTTGTTTACACAATTATAATAATAATTAGCTTGTAATTTATAAATGATTACAACGTTTGATTCCATTAAGAAAAATTTCTAGAGAATCAATTGATATTACAAAACATATTTAAAATATATAATTACGTAAACTAAACGCTATTTAAAAAAAAACTTACTATCTCATTCAGACAATATTTATATAATATGAGTATTTATTATAATTGAGTATCTATTTTAACTTCTTAATTAAATCCACGCAAAAGCGATATTATGGACTTTGTAGAAACTGTATAAAAGCAAATAAATAAGCAAAGCTTATAAATAAATATATATAATAAGATATATGTTTACACCTTCATATATAAACCTCATACATAAACAGATATACATGAAAAGTTTCTATGTAATATTATTCTATTAAAAAAAGAGATCATGATATTTTCTTGAATCAGAAGGATAAAGTTGCTCGAAGTAAATAATCAATTTGATCTGTACAGTGTCTTTATTTTTCTGTCGTTTCTCTGTTTCACAGGAGCTATACATATCGAGGTTTATATCTGGATTAGCTCTGGGCATCATTACCATGTCCACGCCGATGTACGTGAGCGAGATTTCGCCAGCTGACATTCGCGGCAATTTGGGATCTATACTGGCAGTCGCTGGGAAACTCGGTATTTTGATCGAGTTCACGATAGGTCCGTTTCTTTCAGTGAGAAATCTCGCCCTCGTCTCTTTGGTGGGACCATGCCTGTTTCTGGTTACTTTTATCTGGCTACCGGAATCCCCCTATCACTTGATGCGTTGCAACACCAAGCAAAAAGCCATAAACTCTCTTGTTCAATTGAGAGGCAAAGAGGATGTTTACAAGGAGGCAGATAGTATTGAACAATTTGTAAAAGACGATTTGGCTAACAAAGCTGGTTTCCGTGAACTCCTATTTATACCAGGAAATCGCAAGTAAGACGTCAAATTTGTAGTTTTATATCAAAATAAATTAATAAAAAAATTAAATTCACAAATCACAAAAACTTTCAAAGATTTCTTGTTACTACGAATAAAAAATATTAGATATTGATCTAGAAAAAAATTTACAAATAAGTATTATGTATAAATCATGTTTTATGTATGTATAAAGTAACTGTATTATAATCGTTGGAGCACATTAAAAAGTTCTTTTATTAATAATTTCTAGTATATATATATATATACTTAGTATATAT